CCACCACAGCTCCAGCGTTGAGCGGTGAGCGGTGAGTGGCTGCTGTTCATGGCAGACGTCTAGACGCGTTTGCTTATTTTTTGGTGGTCATAACAGAAGCTTTTAAGCCAAAATGTTCAGCCATTTGCATAATAGAGACAGAGACGAAAGTGTGAGCCACTTTCTAATGATTTTTCCACTTAAATATGGAGAACATGGAGAGCTTTAATAAATTAATTAAATGTGCAAAAATGTAGGTGAGTCTTGGATATTGGGGGAAATATTCAGTTATGAGACCCTCGAATTGTGTGCATTATCTGCAAGATTCTGCCATTTCCATTTACACTTGAACACACTCTCAGGGCGCCATCAGCGGAGAGCCATCAGCACAAATGTCAAACCTTTTGGGTCATTCCGACACTTGATGACAGCGACGCAGCGCAAGACGCGTATCCTTTTGACCTGCCTGCCGGCCACCCACGGCCACACCCTGCCTCTGTCCCATGATGGCGTCCTGCTTATTTACAACTTGACATTTCACTTGCGAGTCGCGGGGCACTTTAATGCGCTCCAATTGCATTTTATGACAGACCAAACTGACCTACTTAAGGCACTTTCCAACACTCCAACACACACAGAACAGACACACAGACAGCTCAAGCCCCAGCCCAGCCATGCCCACTGCTGGCACTTTTCCTCCGTTGCGTTCCGTTCCGTTCCCTTCCTTTCCATTTTCAATTTCAATCGCATTATAAATTTAATGTGTTTGACCTTTTTCCCTTCGAACGGTCGACCGCAATTCCGCAATAGATTGGCAAACTACTGAAAATCTGAGGCAGGGAAATCGACATAAAATTTAACTTAAATGTCCCATAAGTAGCTCTGATGTTTAGGGGCGTGGCAGTGGCTGTGGCTGGGGAATACAGGATCTGGGATCCGATCCACAAGTGGACGAAGTAAATTTAAACTTTTCAATGGCTTAAGATGCGCTTTAAATGACCGAAACAAAGTCTCTTCTCACACAGTGTGTCTGGTGGGTGCTGGCAGGGCTGTAGCATTTCACGCTGGATGCACAGCAGCAGCTAGCCAGGGTTACGCCCCACGCCCGCCCATCCACGCCTGCCATTGTCAATATCCCTGGCAGCCATTTCCTGCTTTGTTTTGTGTGTGTCCTCAACGCGCCTTTGCCTTTGTTATTGCTGCCAAGAAAGGTCGAACACTTTTTGTTGCCACTGTCCAGTCATGGGTGAACATTTTTGTGACTAAAGAAAAGTCTCTCAAGTAAGTTTTAGCCCCGAACCCCGATCAGCGTACCGCATTTGGCATTGAATAAAGCTTCCTCAACTGGAAGCAAAAAAACATTGAAAATTGTTTTCCTTTTTTCCCCCTGTGTGTGTGTGGAAGGACCTGTGGAGGGATCTCGGTAACCCATCTATTGGGTTTTATTTCGCTAAATTTTCTTTGCCTGTCATCTTTCTGTGGCGCTGCTGCTTGCTGCACTTGAGCAACGGTTTTTTGTGCTTGCCAAATGTTGATTCAATGCCTGGGCCACTTTTTCTGTGTACAAGTACTTCACTGTACCCCGCCCGCCCCCTGCATCCTTGCTGAGAGGATATCTATGCGTTGTATTGAAATAAAAAGTCTCGGGCTGCGCTTGAATGATTTTTTGGTTCGTGCAAATATTTTATTGACTATTATTCTGCCTGCTCTTCAGCTCTGCTCGCTGTCCTTGTACCTATTGTCTGTGGAGAGAAGGAGGATGAGGGAGTCCTTCAGGGTCTCTGGGTATATATATTTTCAAGGGTTTATTTTGGCTCTGTTTTTCCTCGATACACACTTATTTTTGTTGCGCAATTTTCCTTCGTTTTGCCCAGATAAATATAGAGAGAGAAATAAACCGGAATGGAGTTTATTTTCGTAGACAGGAGCAGGAGCCCAATCCGGAGGAAATTGACAAATTATGAGGAAATTTATGTTTAAATTTCGATCATTTTTATGGTATAATTTTTTGTTTACTTTAAATCAAAATTTGTGAATGTTATCCGCTTTTTATTTTGCCATAAAATATCCAAAAAATAATACAATGTTTAACCTTTTAAATTATCCGAAATTTCTACTAATTTGAGTCGTTTTGAAATGTTTTCGCACAAAATAGAAAATCCCATTGGATTGCCGCAATTATAGCATTTAGCACGCATTTCAATTTGGCTCTCTCATTTATCATCGTGACGGGCCTGTCTGACTCTAGTTTATCTGTATCCCCCATAAAATATACTATGTTTCCAATATTCGGATCTTAATTGGCTTTGTCTGAAGGCAGCCTCAAACGGCGCGAAACTAATGAAAAAAAAATCATCATCACAGAACAGCAGAAAGAAATAGAAAAATAAGGCAATGTCTGGGATAGTCCAAAGAGGGGAGAAGGGGGGGTCTACAAAACATGGCATTTTAAAGCCATTGCTACTAATTTTATGATGCTTTCCTTTTGGCACTTTTCCTTTATCCTTGGTTTTCTTCGGTTCCGTTTGCTTCCGTTTCCTTCCTTGCTCAAACGATTATTGCCCCGCCATAAAAGGAAAATGAAAATGAAACAGAAACAGTAACAGAAATGGACGCAGCTGAAATGAAACCATCCTTGAAATCTATTGTCTGTCTGCACCGTCCAGACAATTGAGGAATAAACAAACGGAAAAAAACAGCTAAAAATATATATAAAAATAAAAAGCCAAATGCTCCGGCTGCAACCAATGAAGGAAATTCCGAAAAGCGGGCGACCCTTAACATAATTGAAAAACATCAAAAAACCCAATGAAAATCAAAATATATTTGCTACAAAAATAAGAAACAGCCAACCATTTCCATTGCACCGCAAAAAAAATTCTATATATTTTTAGATGATTTAAAACATTATTGTTATAAAAAATATACGTAGATTAAACATTTTGGAATATATAAAAGTGAAAAATAAATATACCAAAAATAATATACTTCATTTGAATCTAGGAATAGTATTTCCGTATTAAATTGGTATCAAATGCTTTCCATACCCGAAAGAAACGTTTAAGCATGGTTTGAAAATGAAATATTCGATTTTATTTTATTTGTTTGAACTGCAAATTCCAATGAATTATCAAATAATATTAGTATTTTTCTCTCAATGTATTAGACAGACAATGCAAGTATCGAAGTATTGAAGTACTTTTAGCATCTTCAATTTTGATAATCAGATTCCAGAATCCACATAACAATTTCAATGGCTATTTGTTTTGATGTTGTTTTTGGTTTAATGATGGTCTCTCATTCCCAGTCCCTCTCTTGCTCATTCTGTCTCTGTCTCGCTGTCATTGCAAATGAAATGAAAACATGCAAAACAATTAAAAACAAACAACAAAATGACCAAAACAGCAAACACAATAGCTGCAATAACAAGGCAGGAGCCAAAGGCAGCTCGAATGGTAGTGGGAGGAGGGTGGGTGGAAAGGATTAAAATAACAAGACCATGTCGAACACCTAGCCAAAGGTACACCACGTCGAAGCAGCCCCATCAACATTGAACAACAGCTTCAACAATAACAACCGCACAAACAAGAAGGAAAAGGCCAGAACCGCAGACAGAACAGCAAATACCCTTCAGAAACTCGTACTCGTATAGATTGTGTGACAGCTAAATATATGAGATATGAGAAACAATATTGCTAGATAGTTAATTGCTTCATACAAATAAAAATAAAACAAATGATGTTCCTGTGATAATTCTTTTAATTTTTAAGCATTCCAAAATGTAAAGTCTACATTTATTCTGCATAAAATTAATGCTTTAATTCATCCAACAAATACCCAGTTTTCGCGGGGCTTTTCGGTTTCTTGGTTTTTCTAGTTTTGTTTCAAATATTTCGATTTCTGTATAAATTTATAAATGTACTTAATAGAGTTCAAGATTCTTCCCTTTCTTCGTCTGAAACCTTTTTTACCCTTTGAAAGTGTACACGATCAGAAACAACTCCAGTGCATTGCATTGCAATGGTAAAATAAATAAATATTCATGTTGAAAATGTACTTGTAAACATGCAAATTGTAAAGCAGCCACCAATAATGGTTTAGTGGGGGTTGTGGCACCATGGAAACAAAAAAGGGAAGAGGGACTGGCACGGGTACGGAAGGGAGTTGCTTCTTTTGTTTTGGCAGTTTCAAGTGCAGGTCAAAGTCGGGGTCTGTGCCACAGGAGAACCCTCAAATGTGGCAACATTGAGAGGGCAAAAAAAAAGAGAGAGAGAGTCAGAGAAAGAAAGTGTGTGTTCGAAATGTGATAACAAACAATGAGTTTGGCAATGGATTTTTTAAACTTTAATGTATTTTGACATAATTTAAGTTGCAGTTAATTAATTTGTTTAAAAATTTCTATCTTTGGTGGAAAAAAGGGAATTTATATATTCCGTTGGAGTATATATTTAGATAGTAATCTGTAGACTTTCAAAAAGCGTCAGCATGAATGCCCATCACATCACAGGGCTCACTTTGAGATATTCATGGCCATTGAAGCCCTGGGGGAAAAAGCGCCAAAACCCACTGAGACTGAAACTGGACCCAGGCCCAGAAGCAGAGCAAGGGAGGAGTAAAACCAGGAACCGCCCCTCAGCCAGCGGATGCTACGTGGAGCTATATGCATATATAAACAAGGACACGTACGCAATTAATTGCAGAATTATTACAAATTTCATTACATGCTAAAATATGCAAATTGTAGACCGAAAGTTCCCCATGCCCCGTCCCTACTCTGCCGCTCGTACCGCGTACCGCGCACTGTCGCTGTCCCTTGTACCCAGTCCCTGCAATTAAATGCATTTGCATACATAATAAATAAATAATGCAGATGCAACAGCGGCAACATTTTGCCGCATTAACTTTGCCGCTGATGTGCGAAAAATGAAAAAGAGGGAATTTTCTTTTAATTATCATTTTAATGTGTTTATGAACATTTGGAATTGTACGCGAAAATTGCTCCCTAAATTGCAGCCGGGCAGCCGGAGAGTGTGCGTGAGATCCCTATTGAGGGAGAGAGAGAGGGATTCCTACACTAGACTGAAATTACAGGGTGATGTAGTGGGTGGGGTGGGGTGCGGGGACAGCTGCATTAACAGAAATGCCATAAAATGGCAACAACATTTTACAGGCAGCTGTCGCCGAGGGTTCGCCATTCCACGGGGTTGGTTCTCTCCCTCTCCCTCTCACTCTACCCCACCCGTTTGCCGCTCTCTATCACTTGCTCTGCAAATTGTTTGCTGCCTGTCTACATAAATATTGCATGTCCACAAAATAGTTGGGTTAAAAACATTTGCACAGAGCCAAAAGAGAGAAAAATGTAGATATTTTATTTGCATGATTGCACAGGGCGATGTGCATAGAGCGGAGCGGACTGGAGTGGAGTGCAGTGGAGTCGAGTGGTGGGCTGGACGTAAGGCTAGACGGCTGCTCAAGTGGCAGGCCGAGTGGCGGCGTGTGGCATGAACAAGTTCTGAGTACACGATGAGGCTGGGGGTTAGAGGTACCTCCTATGATTTGTTCTCAGTTGCCTTGTCAGTCTCCGAGGATCTGCCGAAACACAGCCACCCAGGACGTCGGGTTTTCGTGGGTTTCTCCGTCTTTTCAGGCTTCTTTTTCGAATTCTTCTCGCTGAACAATTGCACTGGCTGCGGTGCAGGCAAATCGGCACGAGGAGCCTCCTCATTAATTGGAATTTCCTCAGGCAGCGAATCCTTGGTATTGAGGTGCTCTGGTCGTCGGGGCTTATTCGGATCGCGGGGGCGCCTCATGGGCGCAGCCATACCCGTACCCGTACTCTTCACAAGGCTACAATCTGGTGGGCCCCGACCGCGGGCACAGCATTCCAGTCGGACACGATCGTCGTCGTCCAGGCGGCCGAACTCGCAGTACAGCTCGTCGACCTTCCGCTGGAGCGCGGTGTGCAGGTTGTTCTGCTTGCAGAGCATCGTCTCCAGCTCGCTGATGCGCTGCTTCTGCGTCTTGATGACCTTGCCCAGCACCCGGCGCACCTGCTGCTCGCACTCGCAGCCGCAGGGTGGCTGATCGAAGTGCTCCTGAGTCTCGGGGCAGCAGGGCGGGTTGCAGCATTCGTCCTCATCCTTAAGCCCTGCCGTCGGCTGCTTGGTGCACTGATCGCACTTGCACGGACACACGTCGGTGGGGTGGCTGCCGCGGGCGAGGACCAGCACGTCCGTGCAGCCGGGCATGCAGGTTGGTTGACGATCTACGCACCCCTCCGTTGTCTCCTTTCCATTGCTATCCGTCGTACTTCTCTTCCTGACCTTCTGGATCTGTTCGTCCTCCTGCACGGGCGTGCGCAGGACAGTGACCTCTGTCCCGTCGATGTCCGGGAAGGTGGCGCCGATGTCCTGGAACTCGGACTCCTGCACAAAGATCTCCGTGTCCGAGTCGTCGGGATTGAAGCGCTTTGTGAGGGATCGCCTAACGTCCCCGTCCTCCTCCCCAGCCTCCTCCGCCTTGATCTCGAGGCAAGACTGTCCCTTGCCGCAGTACGAGGGCAGCGAGGCTCCGTTGATCACCAGCACATTGACCGCAGGACACCGCGGCGGATCCATATTCGGGCACTCGCACGCATCGGTAGTCGCCTCGCCATGCTTTCGCCGCCGTACCTCCTCGGCCCGTTCGGCCGCCCGCTGCTTCTTGCTGATCCTCTTAGAGCGCTGCACAAAGTCCGGGATGTGCTCGACGCAGACGCAACACTGCTGCTGTATGCTCTCCACGCACACATCCTTGGCCCCCATGCTCTGCTGCCAGATGCGCGCCTCCTGCGCCGTCTTCGGGTAGGTGTACCTCTCATTGCCCTTCGCGTCCACCTCCCGACGTGGCTCCATGCCACATATCACACAACGACGAGCTGTGGGCATTTTTTAATTTTCAATCAATTGAAAAAGTTCCAAATAAACTAAATAATTTTTACGAGAATTTTATGGAAATATTTTTGTATTTCAATTTCTGAGGAAAGGAAAGGCAAAGGCTTAGATACGGACAGCGATAGAGAGTGTGGCAATCTCGTGTAATTGTTGCTCTCTTTGTGTGGTATGCGTTTTTTTTTGTTATGCTTTTGGAGGCACTATACGTACTAGTATGTATAACGACGCACCTTGCGGTTTTTGCGGCAAGTGAATTGGGCTGTGAAAGCCGAACGCAGTCGTTGCATGTGGCGTGGAATGGAGCGAACAGAGTAGAGCGGATCAGAGCGGAGCGAAGCGAAGCGGCTTTTTCTGATGACTGTTATGAGGTGGGAATGATTTCGAAATCGCTGTGGGACTGCACTGCATCTCTGGGGAGGCGGGGCTTTGACGACTGCACTGCCACTGCCACTGCCTTTGGTATGCCACATAAAGTGGAGCAGCGGAGATTGTTATGTGGAAAGCAAAAACTGCATCAAAAGCAATTGATTGTGGTTGAAGGCATAAAAGAAAACCAAAAGAAAACTTCGAAACTGTGAAAAATGGGATCAAGAATAAAAAAAGAAACGAAAAAAAAACAAAAAAAATAGTAAATGGATAATGGATAGTTGTTCCAAGTGGGCTTTGTACCTAGGAATAATTCTTCCATATACGAATTGTGATCCCAGCTATTTTTAGCTCTCTATCATACGTCAGATATCAAGCAACCAGCGCTCTGCATCTCTCTGTCTATAATTGCTTTCAGACGTTTTGAAACGCAACATCCTCGATGGCATAGTTTGAATCGAAATTCAATAAATTCTAGAGCAAAAATTCCCACTTCATTTCTTTGGCTTTCACGAATGCTTACCAGCTGAATGGTCAATGTCAATATTCCATAGCCTTTAAGGCTGTACAGAAAGTCACGCCCACACCCAGAAATACACACAATACACACGGAAAAAAAACAAGTGCGTTTCGATTCAGTCAAGCCTATAAATCTGCGCAAACCGCAAAACAATAGATGGAATAGTTTTTATGGGGCAGCAGGGGGGACTGGGATCACAAAAATCACGTTATTTCAATCAGAAATGGCTCTTTATCTATGCATGTATCTCTGCGTGGTGTGTGTGTGAGTATCTGTATCTGTGGCCTGGTTTGGCATTCTTCAAATGCCTTTTTTGTGGGTTAACGCCCACAGACGCACACCAAAAAATTTGAATAATCTGCTGCCGTAATATCGCCAATTTATCACTGGGCGTTAGACCCATTCCCCTTCCCATTCCACTTCCAATTCCAGTATCCAGTAACACTCGGACTCATAAAACGAAAGCAAATGTGGGAAGTTCACATTTCACTTTCATTTTGGATACGGATTTGGATTTGGATGTTGGGGAAGAGAAGAGACCGCCGCAGCCGCAGCCGCTGCCGCCGCCTCTGCTCCATTGAGTTTTCCCAATTTATCAATGGCAACACGGAGGCGCGCTGTTAATGAAGAATTATGTTCATAATTTTCAAATTTATTGTCGCACATCTTCCCGGTTGTTCCCGCTCACGCTCCCACTGAAGATCAACATGTTGATGATGATGATGGGGATGGGGATGATGATCAGTGCTGATGATGGGGGCTGTCCAACACTTAAGTGTGTCAAAATGTTGTTGCCGCCACGCCATGTGGCATGGCTATGCTGGCTATGCTGCTGCCTCGCCATGCTCCGCTCCTCCTCACCCTTTGGTGGAACCATCATCGTGTCAGTTACAGAGACACTTTTCAAATATTTATGATGCGTCTAGTCGAACACACAATCCAATCCCACACACACACACACTACACACCAATCCACTCCACACTCCACACCACTCCACACTCCACTCAATCTGCTGCTCGTTCCATAACTTCATGTTCGGTTCACAGTTCAAAAAGTCATTTCAAGTTTCTTGTTACCGATTCAAGTGAAAGTTTCCCCCAGTTTTCCCTTTCTCTCAGCTATTAATTTTCACTTAGTCAGCGTTCTAGTGGGGAAAAAGTATTCAATTTCCACTTTGTCTTGCAATCCTTTAAATCGAAACAGATGCCAAAACATTTTCATTCTGCCATTGGCAACAGTTTTCAAGTTTTCAAGTGGATTTAATTTGTTACCCATTTTTGTTGGATTTTCTTTCGTGTTTTTTTTTCTTTCTTTTATTATATATATTATTTTTAGACTTTTCCTCTCTCACTAATTTAGTGTTTGTTCAACTTGAATGCGCTTTTCGGGCTCGCGTAGCATATAGATTTAAGAGCTCATGAAAGAGTGGAAAATTTATGTGACAGCTTATTAAATTTATATGTTTGCTCTTTATTACAGATTATTCAGAGAGCGCGTGAGAGCGAGCGAGAGCCAGAGAGTGATTGGAAGCACATGTGTTCTTCGGGTAAGTGGTTGCCTCTGCATGGCCCTCGAGTCGATATGTTGGATTAAAGAGCTTTTAAACGGGAGTTTAGGTTAAGTCGGATTGATCTGCAACATATGTATTTGTTGGAGGGAACTTTGATCTGTCTGCTTTGGGGGAAAATCTCGTGTTAAAGTGGGAAAAATAGATTTGATGGTGAAGGGAGTTCATCGTAGCTATCGCTGCATGTTTAGAGCTTCTTTCCTCACTCCACTTTGCTGGATTTTCACTGCCCCAAAACACCCCTCTTAATCTGTGTGTTTCTTGGCCTAAAAACCTTTTCGATCCGTCGCACCATCGGCAAACACGATAGCTCTGGCTTCCACTGGGGAAGCTCCGCTCAGCCACACTCGATGCAAACTCTTTATGCAGACCCAAAACTGCAGAAAAGTTGATGTGAAAATTCACACTATGCGCTCACACATCGAAAGCGGCGCGGGGCGGACGGAGCATGGAAAAAATACTCGTATGCCTGCCCCTGAGGCTGTGCCCAAAAAAAATGGCACTGGGCTGTGGCACTTCATTAAATAGACGCCATGGCGGCGCTTTTCCCCCAACAAACGGAGAAAAAAAACCAACAAAAGAAAAGAAAAAAATCCGTTGACTGTGCCACACCCGCCACATTACGAGCAGCTCCAAAAGTTGCTTATTTTTCACACATGCGCGTCAACTGAGGGACAAAACAACAAAAAAAAAGAAAATTACGAGAGGCAGAAATTTAAGCAACAAATTTGGTTTGCTTTTTGTTGCTGCCACCCCACTTCACATTGTTTATGATGACAATTTTGCTGTTGTTGTCGACATGTGGCCGTAAAGTTGTCGGTAAATATAAAACAGGCCCCGGAGTCTGTCCTTTACACCCGTAAAGCACTCCCCCCAGGGCAGCCGCAAGATCCGCGCTAAAATACTGAAATTTTTGAGGGATCCTGTGCTCCGAGAACGGAGCCTGGAGGAGCCAGCGAGGAGTGTTAATAGGCAAGAAAAAAGTACAACTAAATGGGAAACTTTAATCTCCACTGGGAAATTCTGTATAATTTTGTTGAATGCCAATTGTGTACATATTTATCTGCGATCATAACTTAAACCCATAATTGACTAAGTAAAAATCATTATAGCAGCAGCGGAACGACCTTCAAGGCAGCCTCACTTTAAGCTGGAAATACGCGTAATTTCATAATTTGCTATGCTGATTACTTCCACCCAAAAGGCTGACAACGCAATTTGTTTCTGCTTTTTCGAAATATTCTTAACATGTAATTGTCATTTTGTCAGGCAAACAATGGACTCTGACAAAGTACACAGCAAATAAAAATGGGCGGAAAAAAATACAGAAAAAAATCAACAAATCCCAGAGCCGGGCCAGGCCAGGCCAGACCTAGACCCCACCCAAAAGCTGTCTATTGTATTGTTTTGGCTGTTGTTTCTTGCCAGAGTCGTTTCAGAGTCGCATAAATAACCAGAAATTAGCAGGCAAATAAGTCAGGTCGAATGTAAACTCGTTTTTGGCATTGAAACACCTGCAAACAGCTGCAGACCCCGCCGAACACGAACCCGAACCCGAACCGATTCTTGCCATATTCCAAGTGCTAAATCACCTGCACAGAGCCACACTCCACTGCAACACACTTCCCCTCTGGGCACTCTGGGGGCAAAAGTTTATCCAACTAATTTAAATTTATAGACTAGAGATCTAAGCCAAGATGTGGCTCGGGGTCTCGCGCTGCTGATTTATGCCCAAAGATTGTCACCAGAGATATGGAAAATGATATACACAGCGCAGTGTATCTGTTCTCAATGAGAATTCTATGTAAATTGGATCCGCTACAGATACTAGTCATATGAGTGGCCTTAACACTGTTGGTGATCACTGCGAGTGGCACTTGTTGAAGGGATTTGTATCTGTTTGTTGTCTGCTCCTCCCTTGATTTGAGCTTGAGTTTATTGAAGGTAAAATGTCGATGACAAAAGCCGCTTATTTTGAGGATTATTTTGTGGGATTGTTCTTCTCAGCTCTTTCGAATCAATGAGGCATGAACCGTAACCATAACCATACCCATAACCAGAGCGTAATTGGAGCTATAAAAAACAGCAGGGGGTACGAGTACGAGCCACGTCTAAATCTCACATCAAAAAGAAATTCATCTTTATAAAAAACGAAGGAAACAAAAATTATAACAAAAAAAAAACAGAAATATACTCGTAAAAACCGGCAGCGAGTGCCCCACAAAGATCCAACAATTCAACCATCCATCCATCCAGCTGCGAGAGATAGTTTACTTGCGGTAGTAATCACACCGAGAGACCCCATACCTCCTTACCCTACCCCACTACCGTCTTGGAGCCGTCATAAACACTTGAAAAACTGTTCGGAAATTTCTGATGTACCACTTACAAGTGGAGCTCTGGAGCTGTGGAGCTGCTGGCATGAAGGTGGCGAGGGGGATTTGTTGGCGGCGGCCTCTTTGGGCCTGGCCATCCTTCAATTCCTCAAAATTATATATTTAATGTGTGTCTGAGATTTCGATAGAGGCGTGAACCTGTTGAAATTCGTATCCAGCAGATACGCTGGTACTTTCAAAAGCATCTTGTGGTTGGTTGCCGGCAACGGCATCCGTTCTGGCCATGGCTGCCCACCTCTGGCTGTGTGTGTGTGTGTGTGTGTGTCTGCCCCTGTCTGAGCTTTGATTGAAGATGAACTTGAATGGAATACCGAGAAGGAATGGCAGAGAGAAACGCCAAACCCCAAGCCCCAAACGAGAACAACAGAATCATCATTTGTTAGAACCTGTCGATTTAGATTCAGTTGGCAGCTCATCGACCCTAATAGCATTTGAAAGTTATCGTATCTACTCTACGACGACGGGTATGACTAGCATCTATAGCCTCTGTTTGTGGGTCTCTTTTTTTTTTGTCTTTCTGTAGCTTTTGGCTTTCTTTCGGCAAAGTTGGCTAATTGCCATATTAACCTTTCGGCCCCCTGCAGACACAGCAACAGCAACAGCAAACAGCGATGATGATGATGATAATAATAATAATAACTGAAGTCCGACTGCGTCGGGCACGCTTTGTGAGGCTTTGCTCTTTGCCTTATTTGCAAGTTGGATTTGATGACGGCCCTGGACCTGGACCAGTGAAAGTAATTAGTTGCTCTGCGACTGCTGCCCCAGGGTGAAAGCTGCCGCAGACTGTTGCTGCCGGTGCGAGTTGTGCCACTGCATAATCAATCAGCGGGCCATGTATTGTAATTGAGCTTCGCTCACTCGCTTGATAGCGAAAGTGATCGCTTAGAAACTTCTGTGCGAGTCACGACCCGAGGGCCAGAGAGCTCAGATCAGATGGCAACGAACGGTTAATTAAGCGAGCGACAAAGATCTCTCGGGGGGAGAACTAACGCACCAGAAGATACTAGCAATGAGCTGCCATAGTTAATTCCAGGAATGAAACTGCGCAATGGAGGGCACAGACAGACAGACAGACAGTCAAAAGACCAATATGCCTGTATCCAATAATTACTTGGCTCATTAATCGATGGATTATGGATCCAAATAAACTTAGAGGTTTTATTGTACGATCTCCCAGGAACCATCCTTAGCGTAAAGCTCTCACGCTTTGCAGCTCCCAATGGGACGATGCGATACCCCACTTACGAGAAGTTGCCTGAGAACCTGAATCCTTTCCCTTCTTCTTTATCGGGGGGCCTCGTAAATCGTAAATCAACCCCCATCCGAAGACATTCCAAAGTGTTTTTCGAAAAACTGTGCCAAAGATCTCTTCTCTCTCTCTGCCTCTCTGCTCTGTGTGTTGTTCTGTGTTGTCTCCCAAGCTGATTATATCGAGAAATGACCCCATACCAACACACAAAAGAAGAACAAACAGGCGTGGGGCAGGGGAGTGCAGCAACCGATCTGGATCTGGATCAGAGATCATCAGCAGCACCAGCAGCAGGGGGAAAAAAAGAACAAAAACCGAGTCAAGAAATGAACATCAAGCTGAGATGATTGTCATAATTAAGGATGTTGGATGTTGGCATCTGCCAGACGCAGAAGATGCAAACGGAGACGCACCGAAAGAAGTTGAGATCCAAGAGGGCGGGGGCCACCGGCACAAGCACACCACTCGAGGAAAACCAAACAGATAACCGTAAGAACAAGTTTGTGGCCCCGCTCTGCTCTGCTCTGCTTTTGATTCACAAAAGATCCACACACACACACACACAGACACAAGCAAAAGCTTCCGGTGGAGTTCAGGTTTGGTTTCTTCTCTCCGTTCATATGTGCCTGCACCTCCAACTCCAGCTCCCCCTCGTCTTGCTGCTCTTTTTGTTGTTGTTGAAGATCAGCCCCTTAACATCTCATAATTGCAGCTAAGCAAAATTATATAGCCCAAGACGAGATCCAGATCAGAGACGGAGACGGTGACGGAGCCGGACAGAGAGAGAGAGACTCTGGGAGAGAGAAACGAAAGAGGTTTCGGTTTCCCGCTTGTCTGTGCAAATATTTCCAGGCGATCCTCCTCGGACTTTGCCTTCTCCCCAGCTGCAATCCACAGCAACAATTACTGCGCTGACTTGCGGCAATCTCTGTGGCAGGCCACAGAGGGGCCGCAGAGCGAATGAGCGCAGAGCGACAGACAGAGAGTACCCAAGAGGGTTGCTGTTGCCTCACACTCAAGTCTCGCACTCGAGACAAATGTATATCATTCATCAAATTAAAAGTTCAACTGCATTGCAGCGCTGCAGCTCTGCAGCGTTTTGCCAGCCGGCCTGACTGCTTCTCCGGCCTGTCTGCCGTGAGCCGTGCACTTAAATTGATAAATGGGTGGCTTGAGAACTTCTTACAAGAGAAACTACAAGAGATATACAAAGGCCTATTCTTCAGGCAACCCTCGCTGCCTGGTGGCAGCCAGCCTGTCATCTTCAGCGTGCAACATGACCGCAGCGGCAGAAGCTCTGAGGCAACAACTGTTGCTGCCGCCGCCTGCCG